GGGACAGGACAGGCAGGAGAGGACAGACAGGACAAGCCACTGCTCTTGCCCCCGGTGGAGCCCAGTGAGGCTGTTCAAGGGGGACAGGGCACAGCAGGGACACAGCCCAGCTGCCAAATCCCAGCAAAGCTGCCCGGATCCTGCATGGAGAGTGCCAGGACGGTGCCAGCAGCAGAGCTCAGCCTGGGAACAATGACAGGGTGGCCTCAGGGGACTGGCAGGCCCACGCCTCACTCCGCCAGGATTTTTCCATCTGTTCTCAGTATGGTTATTTCCTCCCTTTATTATTTCAGCAGCCATTCCCAAGATCTCCAGTGGCCACGTCCTGCTCTGGATGGAGATTCCACTCCTGGGCTGGCAAAGGGTGGTCTGGGGGCTCTGGGGACACCCTGAGCCACCGCGGCCTCGGGAATGCAGCCACAGCTGCCAGCACCCCCTGCACGGTCACATCCTGCCCAAGGTGCAGGACAGAGGGTATGGGGACATGGGGACACAAACATGGGGCTGCAGGGATCTGGGGACACATGGACACAGGGATGGGCATGTGGATACAGGGATGGACATGTGGATACAGGGATGGACACATGGATACAGGGATGGACATGTGGATACAGGGATGGACACGTGGATACAGGGATGGACACATGGACACAGGGATGGACACATGGATACAGGGATGGACATGTGAATACAGGGATGGACACGTGGATACAGGGATGGACACATGGATACAGCTCCATGGGCACAGGGATGAGCACATGGAATGTCAGATCTGTGGGCACGGGGAATGTCAGGTCCATGGGCATAGGCAATGTCGGATCTGTGGGCACAGGGATGGGCACAGGAATGTCAGATCCATGGGCACAAGGATGTAGGGACACATGAATACAGAGAGGGACACAGATTCAGGGATGGACACGTGGATACAGGGATGGGAACAGGAATGTCAGATCCATGGGCACATGGGATGTCAGATCTGTGGGCACAGGGATGGGCACAGGAAATATCAGGTCCATGGGCACAGGTTTGTGGATGCACAGACACAAGGACACACAGATGATGGATACAGAGACGCAGGGATGTGTGGATCCATGGATCTGCTGATGGAAGGACAGACAGACACACGGACATTCAGGTGGGGGGGTGCATGCACAGGTGCATGGACACAGGTGCTCAGTCACAGGGGACACAGGGATACACTGACAGGATGCAGGGAAGCATGGATCTGCATGGATGCACTGCTGCAGGACACACAGACATGTGGGAATGTGGGTGCACAAGCATTGGGATGAACAGACACACGGACATGCATGGACATTGGGCTGGATGCTCCCAGACACAGCCCAGGGGAGGCATGGACACACAGGTGCTGGGAGGCAGGGACAGACAGACACATGGATATAGAGGTGCAGGGACAGA